ACTTTTACCAGCTCAGAGAGCTAGGAGCCTCAGGAAAAGAGGACATAATTACATCCTGCCTCTAGTTAGAACCCAACGTTTTAAACGTTGCTTTTTTAATAGATGTCTTTTCGAATTTGTGTAGCCACTTAGTCTTGAATGTACATAATGAATTGATATATGTAGGAAATTGTAAGTCCAGACGTTTTGTCTCTGGACGTGTTTCTTTTATTTTTTCCAAGTCAATAAAGATCTTATCTATCTATCTATCCTGATTACCCACGGAGCTGACCACCTTCAGAACTGTGAACCCGAAGAAAACAAAAAGATCGCTTAGTCTCACAAAGGCGCGCTTAAGAGTTAAAAGCTTATTTGACCCTTCATCTTCGCTCTGACAAAGGGCTAACGCTCGAGACGTCAGCATTAGAAACTATTTACGATGGCCATTATACATTATCAATTCAGTTAATAAAACCAAATTATCTTTTATTACCCCTCACCAATGCAGCACTACAGTTTCTTTAGAAACCTACCATCTTTATTCATTTGTCCCTTCATCATACTCATTACTTTTGATGGATTATGTTTCCGCCTCTGATTTGAAAGAAGTCAGCTTTTAAAGTGGTCTAGCGCCTTTTTAACGAGGTAGGCTCTAGTTAAGCTTCAGTGGAGCTTTTTCATATCTAAAGTAATCGAAAACAATTGTCTATTTTTCTCGTTTTTAATTTCAGTTTTGAAGTGCTTCAGCTGTACCCCAAATATAACAATGGTGCCACCATTTCTTTGCGATAATCTCAGAAACTATGCTGTGGTAGATTGTGCGAAGAGTACATCGTGTTTGACCACTACTTTAACGACGTCTACAAGCCAACCGATATATATGATGGCTTGTGGTGAGGTGAGCAAAGTGATGTTATATCTCTAGAAGAGATTTGTGCACTTAACACTACGAAATGACTGTTCAATAGTCATGACCACCATCACCGAATATTTGTATTCCATATTGCTACCTTGGGTAAAAAGATTCCTTTAAACGGTCTCCCTTACAGGCAATCGCTCCTAACTCCAAGGTTTTGAATTGTTCGGTTATGGCGAAGTACGCGTGTGAAAGCGTGATATCATCAATGGTAAACAGCTCAGAAGTAAACGTAGCTTCGTGTCGATCAGTCTGCTGTGGGAAAGATAAGTGTAATGTTAAGGACCTTGGTGCTACAGACCCACCAGTGACCACTTTTCCGCCTACCACCGAAGCAACAGGTACCAGCAATAATCTAATAGCGTCAGGTTGGAATTCGAGTATGGCCTTAAGCTACTGTAAGTATATAAACTGTAAAACCCTATGCTTTCGCCGATTCATGGCTTTAAATATTGCGAAATCGTTCATCGACCAAAGCTCAGGTTTTAACTTTTAATGTTTACGGTACTTTAAGGCCTTACTGGAGTTCCAGTACTATCACTGAAATACAGTGAAGGACAACCTAACCTACTTATAAAGCATCGGAATTGGATGTAAAAAAATAGAGAAGTCTCTAGGATTGTTACCAAAATCTTACCATGCCATAGTTCTTTCCGTCCTTTTTTACATTCTTGCATGTTGTGTTTTTCCTATAGAAAGTAGTCGATCGTTTACTTGGTAGCTCGTTCATTCATTTCAAGCTAATAGAGAGATTTAGCTCCCACGATTACGTGAAACGGCAAACGACAGCTTGCCCTTTCAAGGTTCACGTAAAATAGCTCAGATCACTTCGGAATGGACTGGCAGCCGTCTCATGAGTTAGCGTGAGTTCTTGTAACTGGCTGATGAAGAAGAGTGCAGCATTTGAAGGATTTTTTAACATGAAAGCTCATCTGTCCTTATATGACTCAAAGGAAATAGTTTTGTTACACTATTTTCTGGGAGTTATCTTCCACGCTCCGCGAGAATAAAGGAAAAATCTTATGCACACGGCATGCGCGAAACAGCGTTCGTTCACGAGCAAACGGCAAGGCGCATCCGGCAAATGCGAAAAATGGCTGGAAAATCGTGGTCACCAGGTCATTCTTGCCGTTCACGTTTCGCGAAAACTCGGCGCTAAATCTCTGGAATGTCTATCATTCTTTTAAACAGTTATAAAGATACATACCCGTTTGTTTATTTCTTTAGATGCTTACTGGGTCAGTAATTACATATCTCCATGATATAGTAGATCCAGACCAACAAACGATATATCAAGGATTGAGTAGAAGAGTGTTTTCCAAAATGAAACTCATTACAGCGGAAAAATCTTTTACTTTCTACCAAGCTTTGCATTTTCGTGAAGTGTTTCGCTGAGCACCGAATAGTTGAAGTATTTACAAATCTGTGGCATAACTTTGTGCAGAGAAGCACACTGAAAAGCCAATAGGCGAGGCCTGTAGCTTTTCATTGGTCTCTGTAGGTCATTCACTATTTGGGAGTTTGTTGAGGAAGGTTTTAATTACTAAACTATGATTCCACAAACTAAATCCACCTAATAGTTGGAGTGACCTGGCCTTGCGAACGTCTTTTTAAAGGTGCCTTGGAGTCCAAGGTACGCGTACAAGAAGTTTGCTTAGTGAAATGTTGACTTCTGATTTCTTGAGACAAGAAATCGAAAGCATAATCGTTCCCTCGGTACTTTCACATATTAGTGGCTTCAGTATATAAATTTTTCAGGGTGATATAGCTGAGTTAACACTCGGAGAAGCCTATAATGGACTCCGGGTTCGCTTATCTCCATGTGAACGATGTTGTCACTGTGTCAAAAAGCATGGTCTCACATCATTGAACATGATACAATGCCACTTCAGAGTAGCTGAATGTGAACACCCATGAAACATGCTGAATCCGTGTTTGTATTAACAGAAAGCCCCCTTCAGCAACTAAAACTTGAAGGGAGGTGTAAAGTTCCCTATATGTTCGAGGGTTTTTCTCTAATACTGTAGCGAACATGATTTAAATGTGCTCGCGAGGTTTTGGGACACATCATGTATGTTCTTAGCTCAAAATCATCGTCACCTGCGCGTGTAAAGCGGGCTTATGAAAACGAAGGTAAAAAATCTATTCAAGGACCTCGCCTTCAGCTTGGAAGCTCGACTTTGATACTTTTATGCCTGTTCAAGATGTGTCTTTTATGTTTGTTATTGATGAGACGGGGAGTATGGGCCAGGAAATTCAAGCTACAAAGAACATTGTTATTGCTTTCTTTAATTATCCGCGTCAAGCCCCCGTTGAGTACACTCTCTCACCATTCAAAGACCCTATCCCAGGTAAGTCAGGCTATCACGCACTATCCTGCATTGTTACGTATTACATGTTTGATGCAGCAGGCACAGTAAGGTGTCTGAATGAGAGAAGTGAATTTAGTTTTGTCAAATGAATTGATAATGTAAATTTGCCAGCGGTAAAGACTTTCTAAGGCTGACGTTCCAAGCGCTAGTTCTTTGTTAGAGCCAATGACAAAAGGATTACGGTCGAAACGTCACTGATACAAGCGTCTTATTTGTTGAGCACGAGTGAGCATTCTGAGTTCGCGATTTGTTCACCGAACGTCCACGTTTATTGTAGGGTTAGCGGAAGGGTACACGCAAATTTTTCTTTCGCCTTCCCCCTAACCTTTCCTTTCTTCTCTCCCAACAACCATCCCCTGGATACAAATTTCACTCTCTCCCAACCGTGCTCCAGTTAATATCCAAGATGTTGATTAATCCCCTCGCGCAGACATAAAACTCATAGGGTTGCCTTGCAGAAAACACGCGTCACAAATCAATTTACATAAGAGGCCGGACATTCTTTATTGCCTTGGGGTAGGGGGAGAGGGGTAGAGAAATTCTGGTTGTGTCACTAACCATCCTGAAGAAAAAATCTGCTGTTACATACCTAGGCTTTCAGTCAACAAAACGGGCACTATGATTGGTTGATTCGTGGTCACGAGCCACTGATTAAATTCAAATGTAACTCGGAAAGTTTCTTTGTGAAATCATTGTTTCCTCGTAAATTAGAAACTGTTTAAACTTTAATAATTTCTTTGTTTTATTTCATCGTTTAGTGTCAAGGTATTTCGGGTTCCTCGGTAAGAAAGTGGTCGAACTAAAGAATGAGATAACGGAGGCATGATCGACTTGTTGCACTGGTGTGTTTTGAATGTATGTTCCTCTTCCATATTTACTTACAATATATTTCTTAGCACTAGAAAAATCATAAATTTTTAGTGAATAGTTCTTAGTACTAAGTTCTTACTACAAATTACAGACTATGACAGCCTAGTGCGGCTGGAAAACTGAAAAACTTCCTGAAAACTTGAGAAGGCTCTTACAAGTGCAGTCATATTTAGAACAAACTTTATAATAACGTGAGCGCAAATTTCTTACCAGTAAGTTAAGAAATAAAGTATAAAGTCGCGGTCGATTTCGCGGAGCTTTCTTGCGATCAAAGTATTCTTCTCAAATCATAAAAAAAAGCAT